TTAGATATAAAATCATAATTCAGATAGCAAACTAGGGTCTTGAGAACCAATACGTGCATCATAATTCATATACAAATCTCCACTTTTAATCTACTCAATCTATCAACAAATAAAACTAGTTATTTACTAAGATAACACTATATCAAAGTTAAAAATAAAATTTAAGATATGAATTTAGGTTTTTTTTCATAAAGCTTAGTCATTATACAACACGAGAAATACTAGCATTGTCCATATCTACTAATGTCGGGAATTTTTCCTAATGAGGGCCAAATTTCATTAAAGCTTTACATAATTGAATTAAGTTCAAAATTGACTCCTAAGTCTACAATTTTGTAATCTACCCTAAAACGTTGAAAATTCTCAATGATCAAGCATTGATTGCTAAAGATCAATGATATTTAAAAAATTTAACTTTTAGTCCTTATGCAACACATTTTTTGAGGAATAGAAAGACAAGAAGGGAAACTTCGGATTCATCACTCTGTATCAACTCAACAACCAATATCTCTATAAAACTAACATGTTTCATAAATAAATTGAACAGCAAAAAAAATGTGATTTTATGAAGGGTGCAGGTTGTATAGAGCCTAGGCTCTAAACAATAAAATTAAAGCCTACTTTCAAATAGTATTGAGAAATGTGGTTTCAATATTGGAAATCTTGTGATAGCCTTAAAATATATTTTCATATTTATTTATAAAGTTTAAAGATTCAAAAATTATGTAGATTAATAGATCTATGAAAACTTGAAAATCTTGAAAATGAACGGTTCCAAAAATGCGTCACAAAATACACTATTTCCAAAACTTGAAATCCATTTTTTTTCTCATGTCCATGCATCTTGATGTCAAGATTATTAATTTGAAGATATTTGAGCATCAAAACAACCTCTTCTAGTGAAATTTTTGGGGTAGGCTCAAATTTGATTGTTTAGACCCTTGACTCTATATAAACTTTTCCTTTTTATGAATCCACATAATTTTCTAGTTCCAAATACACTAAAATTTGCAGCTCAAAAGCAAACTTAACTCAATAACTCATGTATAAATTTCAAGTTCTAAAAAAAACCTCAAATTTATACTCTTAAAAACCCAAAAAATATACACTTCTTAAAAACCCCAAATATCACTCAAACAAATTGCCATACTTATAGATCTGTGAAATCTATCAAATAAACCCTAAATCGACCTCTTCTACTCACGTGTGAAACCCTAAATCATAATCTTATACAATGTAAATTTCTAAAAGCAAGCAACAAATCATTATATACATACATTCAATATAGATTTGAAATCCGTCAAATGCAGTTAAAATCTGTCAAAAACCTTCTATTCAAATGTAACCAAATGTATAGAATGGGTTTTCTTGTGAGAGAGGTAAAAGAGTGAGAGAAGAATTGCAAAAAAGAGAGAGCGGACCGCCAAAGTGTTGAACGAGACAGACAAAAGCAGCATTCGTAAGGTTTAAACGAGCCAAACTATTTTTGGTTTTTCAAGAACCGAACTTAACTTATTTTCGATTTTTAAAAAACCGAAATTCCAGCCATTTCAGGTTTTCAAAAACCAAAAAAGGGTAAAATCATTTTTTTTAAACAAAATCGTTATGAAGTAAAAAAACGGACATGCCAGTAATAACGAAAAGTATTTAGTATTTTGGTAATAACATAAACTATAACGGATATTTACGTAAATTTTCCATATATATACAGGGAAAAGAAAATCTTGAAAAGGGATAGTCTATATAATGTATTATAAAAGAGTAATGGATCCTATAGGACCCTGACACGCCGATGGTATGAGACCCCAATATGCAACCGTTAGATCTCAATGGGCTGTCAAGTTAATAAGAATGTTACCTAGCGATTCCGTCCGCGGGTGATGTACAAAAAAAAAAAAAAAAAACCTACTTTATTTCTCTTTCTCTTTCTCTTTCTCTCTTTCTCTCACATTTCCCAATCCCACTTTTCGTCTCTAGTTTCTACCAGCCACCATCGTCTCTAATTTCTATCAGCCATGAGCAAGCCAATTTTTCGCCCCAATTTTCTGTCTCCTCTAAGCTCCATTAAATTGGGTTTTTATCTTCTAACTAGTTAAATGGTAGCCATTTAAGAATCTCCCTCTCTCTTTCTATAAATGGGTGAGTTTGTGCATAAAAAGCTGATATTATGAATCTTCTCTCTCCTCTGTTATGTATGCTTTGCTATCTTTATATGTCTCATTTAAGGCAAATGACATGTTTTATCTTCCTGTCTCTTTAGGATTGTGTATGCTTTGCTATCTTTATGTGTCTCATTTAAGGCAAATGAAATGTTTTATCTTCCTGTCTCTTTAGGATTGTGTATGCTTTGCTATCTTTATGTGTCTCAATTAAGGCAATGAAATGTTTTATCTTCCTGTCTCTTTAGGTTTGTGAATTTTGGTCTAAAATAATAGGAATGAAAGCAAGTTGCATGTGCTCCAACCCTTTAACTGGCCTAAACAAACTCAACCTTCCACCCTTTAAGCTTTTCCACTTGCTCTCTATGATTCTAGGATTTGAATCCACACATGTGACTAGCTTTCCAACTTCAGTTTCCTCTTTTGCAACTCTTCTTCTCTCTTGAAAAACTCACCCATTTCTTCACCTTCACCAATTCATCATATCAGGTTACACATCTCTCTCTCTCTAAAATTGAATATCCAATGATTCACTCTAATTTCTCATTGATAAGATCAAGAGAGAGGAATCTAGATTGGGGAGGATGGAGCATGTGCATGCATAGGAAGAAACATTAAGAGAGAATGAGTTCAATAGCTCATAGCCACTTGCTCGCCCTTCCTTACACACGTTACTTACACACCAGAGATTTTCACAATCATCAGTTCCATGAACACCCTATAATTCGGAAGAAGACTAAGAGGAAGCAATGATCCAATAAACCATGAAGTAACAATGAAAAGAACTAAAACAACCCGAACAAGAAGCAAATGTAAGAAAGAGGAAGAAGTCGAGGGGCCGAGCAGCAAAGAATTGAAGCCCAAATATCTACCTCTCTTCTCTTTTAGCCACCAGATTTTTCTCTTCCCTTGGCTGTCTTTGCATTTTCTAACCTTCTCACTCCACCTCCTCTGAATCCATCTCTCACTATGCATCACTATATTGTTGTTAAATTTACCTGCCCCTTCTCTCTCCTTCCTTATCTCATTTTCTCTCCCTATTTATTGTACCACCACGTTCTTCTCTCTACTGCTGCAAATTAGCTTGTTTTGTTTCTCACTCTAAAATGACACTTTTTTTCGTTGCATGAACAGAAAATGGTACTTTATTTAGTTGTATGAAGAGAAAAAAAATGACACTTTTCTTAGTTGCAAGAACAAAATGGCACTTTTCGAGGAGAAAAGAAATAGGAACACTTGGCCTGGCCTTTTAGAGAGTGAGTGATAATGGGAAACAGAGAAGAAGGTGCCTTGTTGTTAGAGAGGGCAGTTTGTAATGAGAGGTTTGGGAGAGTAATGGGATTGTGGCAAGTGGGGTAGAGCAAGGATGGTAACCGAAAGACAGCAAAAAGAAAGACAACAGGTCAAGAGAGAGAGAGAGAAAGAAAATAATTGAAGATATTAAAGGCTTTTCCCTTTTGGAGGCCGTGTTTGGGGGTTTTCATGTCAGTTGTTTGGGAGCTTTACTTGGTCACCACGTATCATGTCAGTTGTTCGGGAGCTCATTGAATCTACCTGTTAAGGTTCGGGTCTCATGCTGTTGGGCTCATCATAAAATGTACTAATTTTGAGAAATTATTATTATTATTATTTTCATTTCCATATACCTAGATAATTTTCCAAATCAAAACGCAAATATTTTTCAATGTATTTTTATAGTGGACCTTAATTCTATGCAACCTGAGAAAGAGGAGAGAGAGAGAGCGTGATCTCACCATAACCAGTTTTGGTAGCATCTCTTTTGCCACCATAACGATGCCATCAACCAAGCCCATCTCCAAATGCTTCTCCCTATTCTCTCTCCACAAAACAACACAATTGTCTCTCTCTTACAGAGATGCAGAACCCTCGAACACCTCAAGCAAACCCACGCCCATCTCACTACCACCCAACCCTCCTCCATTGCTCGCATCCTCTCTTTCTTCGCTTTCTCTCACCTTTCTTACGCCAACCACGTTTTCTCTCTCATCCCCAACCCCACAGTTTTCATGTACAATACACTCATTCGAGCTCACTCCACCTCCTCTCCACCCCACATCGCCTTCTCTCTCTACATCCAAATGCTTCGAAATCGAACCTTTCCCAACAAATTCACTTTCACTTTCTTGATCAAAGCTTGCTCCCTCTCCCTTTCATCCAAGCTTTTATCGGACTTGCATTCCCATGTAGTGAAATGGGGTTTTGCTTATGATGCTTTTCTGCAAAGTGGGTTTGTTCAATTGTATGCGAATTGTGGTCTCATCGATAATGCACGTCAAGTTTTCGATCAAATAGTAGAGAGGGATGTGGTTTCTTGGACTGCTCTTTTATCTGGTTATGCAAAATGTGGAATGATTAAAACGGCACGCGAAGTGTTCGATGGAATGCCCGAGAAAAATTCAGTTTCTTGGGCGGCCATGATAGCTGGTTATGCTCAAAGTGGGAGCTACGAAAAAGCAATTGAGATGTTTAATGAGATGCAATTTGCCAATTTGCATCCCACTCAAGCCACTCTAGTGTGCATTCTTTCTGCTTGTGCTCAGGTTACAATGATCAAAGTCCCTCTTATACTCTACATGGCTGGTATTTTCTTGTTTGAATTGGGTGCTAGTGAGCTTAAAAACTTGAGCCTGTTATTGCTAGGAATGTCTACTATATATTTGTGGGCACCACTATATTATTTATGGATTTATCACTTCACATGTCTTGTTTATAGTGTGAACTTTATTAATTTCATTTAAAAATAAATTAAGCACTAAGTATTTTTGGCAGCCATTTGTCAAGATTTGATTGTTCACATGCGTGACTTATGAAATTTTTTGCATCTCCTCATTTCCCTCCAAAATCTAAGGAAAGTAGGACTTCTATTGTCGCTCTGAAGATAAGTGCATGCTCTATTTTCTTGAAACTTTTCTTTCTAAACATTTTAGAATATCTTTCTACACATTTTACAATATATCTCTCTACCTAGACATTAATTCCTTCATTAACTACCAAACTCTCTTAAAAAATCTATACATTTCTAAATCCAATAAAAATGTTTAAGAAGTCCTATGCATCTCTCCTATGACCTCTCTCATATGTGATCCAATCTTTGTAATGAAAATAAATTAAAGAGGAGCAAGACAATTGCATCACAGTATTTATGATGTGTAAAGGAAAACTAAAAATGTAGGAAAACAGAAATGCCTACTAAAATAGCAATCATTATGAGAACTACACAAATGAACAAAATAAGTTCCATTTTGGAACTAAATTAGAATATAATGACCAAATATTGGATAAAATGTTCCTAGACTTCAATTTTTTGGATTGGCGTCCGGTGCTGGACAGCTTTTTTTGCTGTTATCCTTCTTTAAGAAGGCACTCTGTTTTCTGATTTTCGGCTAACTTTCCTTGAGAAGGCTTTTTGTTTTCTTATTTTCTGCTTTCTTTGTTCTTTGGAGCATCCGCGTTGTGGATTGCCAATCTTTCTGATCAATTTATGGTTAACTATTATCAAAAAAAAAAAAATTGGATAAAAAAGTTTATTGAAAATTAAGCAACTATATAAGTAATGCATAGTGCCTTATAACAGAAAAGTGAAAAATAATGTTATCAATTTCACATTTACATTAACTAGTTAAAAAACAGTTCCATTTAATTCCTCCATTAGAGCATTGTGCTACGCACATGCCATGAGCTAGTTGGAAGTAACTGATAAACTGTCCATAATTATCAACAAATCATCATCATCATCATCATCATCAAAGCCTTTTTTCAACTATTTGGGATAGGTTACAAAAATCCTGGTCCGCAACTCTGCTCTAATGTCAACAAGTAAATAAATAAATAATGTCCATGTGGTCCGCGTGGGCGAGTTTGATGTAGATTGTTTTTTTTTCCTTCGATTAACTCTCAAAAGGAAATCCTCAAATGTCTATCCTCTAGGCACAGATTTTTATCCTCTTGATAAATAACAAAAAAAAAAAAGGTACAGCCCAAAATTGTTTTTCATGGAAGGATAAAAGTATCAAATGTGACATATCCAAATTTTGGTGCTAACAACTTTCATTCTCTAGGATATCAGCCCAACTTTGCCATCTCTTGGAAGAATCAATGGTAGGTTAAGATAGTTATCGCATGCACTCGTCTGACTTCCTTCAGATCTTGGCAGGCTAAGATAGTTTATCCCATAAAGAAACGACATTGAAAGCACCTTGTTCTGAATCACCATTTCCAATTCATTGCAGGTTGGAGCTTTGGACCAGGGGCAATGGGTCCACGCTTACATTAAGAGGAACAAAGTTCCTCGCACGCTTAGCATTGACACTGCACTCATAAACATGTATGCTAGATGTGGGTGCATTGAAAATTCAGTTCAAGTGTTTAATCAGATGCCTCAGAGAGATACCCATGCATGGACATCCATGATATGTGGCATGGCCATACATGGCCTAGGCCATGAGGCCATCAACACATTCGAAGACATGCTGTCATCAGGTGCCAAGCCTGATGGTGTCACTTTTGTTGGTGTCTTAACTGCATGTAGCCATGCATGCCTCGTCGATATGGGGCGCCATTATTTTCACATCATGGGTGAGATATATCAAATTGCCTCTGGTGCGGAGCACTATGGATGCATGGTTGACATGTATGGCAGATGTGGGCTCCTGGATGAGGCATGGGAGCTTGTCATGGCCATGCGCATGAGGCCTGACGCCATAGTTTTGAAGGCATTGCTTAGTGCTTGTTATAATCATGGTCATGTTGGGATGGCTGAATGGGCGGCTAAGAGGCTCATAGAGGTGGACCCATGCCATGGTGCTTCTTATGTGATGTTATCGAATGTGTACTCGGGTGGAGAGAGATGGGGTGATGCAGAGGGAGTGAGAAGCATGATGAGAGAAAAAGGGATTGCAAAGGTGCCAGGTTGTAGCTTGATTGAGGTGAGAGGGGTGCTTCACCGGTTTGTAGTTGGAGAAAAGGAGCACCCATTGATGAGAGAGATAAACTTGATGCTAGTTGAAATGGGGAGGAGGTTAAGACTTGCTGGATATGTACCTGCTGTTAAGCAAGTCTTGTTTGATATTGATGAGGAAGAGAGAGAAAATATTCTTGGGCGCCATAGTGAGAAACTGGCCATTGCTTTCGGGCTACTCTCAATCGAGGCTCCAGCCCCCATTCGTGTTCTGAAGAACTTGAGGGTGTGTTTGGACTGTCACGTGGCTACAAAGTTGATTTCGAAGGTGTTTGAGAGAGAAATTGTAGTGAGAGATAACCTACGGTTTCATCGCTTTGTTGGAGGATCGTGCTCTTGTATGGATTATTGGTAAAGGCAGTTCAGAACTACAGGTACATGAGATGTAAATTATGAGAATTGGGGCTAATTAAAGATGAAACAGCCCATGAAAGTTGGGATTTAACACCCCACCCCCCTGCCGTCTTTTCCTCCTCTCTCTCTGGGATGATTGTTTTAGACAAAAGTTCTCTTGAACTAGAAATTCCTGTCGAAATTAATGCCCTCCTCACACCCTGTTTCTTAAGGAGACCTTTGGGATGAAAATAAAGGAAAGAGAACCTGTCAATGGAGTACAAGAAATGAAAAGCATAACAGATCAATGGGCGTTTGAAGCTTCCCCAGTTTTCTTTGCAATAAATATTCACAATTATTTCCAGCCTAGAAAACAACCAAATGGATGGAAAAAGAAGAAAACAATATCTGAATGAAAGCCAAAAGAATGAAAGGGGTGAGTTGGTTTATGATGTAGAGAGAGCCAGAGGCTAACAACCCCAAATTCCGGTGGCTGACTTTGCCATAATAGCAGCGAATTCAGGGAAGCTAATGACACCATCTCCATCAGAGTCCGCCTCTTTAAACATCTCGGTGAGCTCTCGAAATGTCAGAGGATGACCCAAGTTAGCCATCGACCGAGCAAGCTCAGCCGCCGTTATATAGCCATTACCATCTCTATCGAAAGCTCGAAATAAATCACAGAGTTGGCTATGGTCTAATGACGGATGAGTGGGCATGGTCATTTGTGGGGCTATGACTTGGAGGAGCTCTTCGAATTCAACAGAGCCATTTGAGTTTGAGTCAATGGATTTGAGGAGAGAGTGGATTTGATCACCTGTTGGTTTGAGGCCAAGGGAGCGGAGGAGGGCGGCGAGCTCGAGGTGGGTGAGGCTGCCATCAGAATTCATGTCAAAGCGAGAGAAGATTTCACGGAGCTCCTCGACCTGCTCGGGCTCTAGGACGCCCTGGCATCCCATGTCAATCTATTCTCTCCTTCCCTCTTCCTTGTTTTAGAGAGAGAAGAGGGGGAGATGGAGTTTGATGGTGCTTGAATCGGAGACGAGACGTGGTGTGGGGTAAATGGGGGAGGCAAGAGCCTATTGTCTTTGCATTCGAGAGAGAGAGAGAGAGTTATGGGAGAAGTTGCAGGGGGTTGAGTGACGACCAGATAGAAACAGTTTTGGGGGGTGTTACAGGGTGAATTCTAGAGAGAGAGAGAACAGGGTGTTGAATTGGTGGGAAGGGATGAGGTGATGAGAGAGAAAGGGGCAGAAACGCGTTTTATTTGTGGAAGGGGATTGCGTATGATTTAAGTAGTTATGACTTGTACCGAGAAGGGTGGCGGTGAATATTCAAATAAGGAGGAATGGGATGAGAACAAGCCATTGCATCTTTTTCTAACTTTTCACAGACCGATGTCCATAATGGTACCATACATTTTTCGGCTGATTTATTTTATTTTAAAGGTTCGATCATTTTATTATCTGCTCAAAACACTGAAAGTTAACCAATGTTGAGGTAGTTTCCCAACTACCAAGGTCCGACAAGACAGAGAGAGAGAGAGAGAGAGAGAAATGGAAGATTGAATTAAAACGAAATAGCATTTGAGGTTCCCTTGATGCATTGACCTGCGTATCAAACGAGTTACCCATGTGCAACAACTTACATGATACCTGTATCGTCACTTACACAATATATATTTCGTTTCTCTGGAGACATCCGAATAAAATTAAAACGATACAGGGAAGATTAACATGATACTGGAGATTATACAGGTGCTTACGAGGAATTATTGAAGAGAGAGAGGTGTGTGGTCAAATGGGTAACGTTAGTGATATGGAAAGAGAGTGTGTGTTTTCAAAAGAGGACCAAGAGCCCATGTATCTAACCTGATGAAGGATATGAATTCAATACCGTGTGGACTTAAATCTGAAACACGGTTTTCATTGTGAATTGTGTTTCGCTATGGAATGAACCATGCCATAATACCGAGGGTAGCGCTTAGGAATTAGGATCATAGTGTTATGGAGATGCCACATGGTTATTGCTTTAAGGTCCAAAACGGGAAAATTCAGATTTTGGGTGTGGTTTGCATAAGGTTGCAATTATAAACAATCAAAGTAACGCATATTTCCCAAGGATGTAATTTTGGTATAAAAAATACTTAGGATGGCTCGATAACCTATTTTCATATGCAATCATAAAATTTTAAACTTTGAGTAGATCTATAAACATATGAAAATCTTGAAAATAGATGGTGCAGATAATATGTTGCAAGATGCACAATATTTGAGATATGAAATGTTATTTTTGGTATTTTCATGCACCTCGACCGATGATCGATTAAAGGGTTTTGCAACATCAACTTTTTTCAATGAATTTTTTAAGTGCACCTTAATTCTACAGTTTATGGTTGCAACTTTATATAAACTTTCTCCTAAGTTCTTAGGCAAGGCAAACATTTACATAGGGCCGCAATATGACTTATATAGGAAAAGTTAAAATAAAATTAAGTGCAAAAAATATGAGTGCAGTTATCCTAACTTTTCCCAAATTTGATGTCAATATGACTTATATAGGAAAAGTTAAAATAAAATTAAGTGCAAAAAATATGAGTGCAGTTATCCTAACTTTCCATTTCGATCAACTGCCCAAAAAAAAAGAAGTCCATTCCAACTCAGCAATTGAGAATAAAGTCTTCCCCTTGAACAAATCCTTTTCAATTGGGGGCAGGAGCTCCCGCTCCCTCTCCCTCATCCTCTTCCTCTCAATTTGAGGGCGAGAGCGCTATCTCCCTCTCCCTCTCTTTTTTTTTAGCGTTGCTTTCCCTCTCTCTCTAATTAAGTGGTATTCATGTAAGACCCTGCCCTTACTCTATTAGCTTCTATTGGGAATCATACCATGTAGCATTGGAGCTTGCTATGTGCCGCACCATTTCATCGACCTACTACCCAAGACGTAGCAGGTGAACATTTATTATCGAGAACTACAGTCCTCTTCACCGCTTTTGTCGTTGAGAATACACAAGGGGAAGACCCCACTGGTGTATGGTAGCACCTCCGTACCTTCCAGTGGATGTTCAGTAGGCCGACTTTTTCAGGGAAGACCTAAGGGAGAAGTGAAGCGACTGACTTAGCGAAACGATACCTGAGCAAGCTAGCTTAACTTCGACCTTATCAGTCGCTTGGATTAAACAGACCATAAGTCAGTCTATCATCCTAATTTCTTCACTGTTTTTTTAAAAAAGTTTGATTTTCTAGAAATGGCTGTTGTTCCTGTCCGAATGCGCAGGGCCCATTGCTTATCTCTTCTTACCACTAGGAAAGAGCGATAGCATAGCCCCTCCTTAACCAAATCATTCTTTGGAGTTTTTTTTTTTATTTTGATAGTTCGGTGAGGAAGACTAGTCCCTACCCTTTTTTTCAAATAGTTTAATAGTTTTTTTAAAGTATTAATGAAGCCATGTCAGTGAGAATAAAAACCATAACATGCTTATTAAGGTATGGGGGGTGCTACCACCAAGACCCCAAGCTGTTTTAAAGAGAAGAACAGTTTCTCAAGGTTAATAATCAACAAAAGGAAAAAAGAAATTAACAATGAGCATGACGGCCAATGTCACCAATCCTACACGGCAGGCAACCTGATTCACAAACCCCTAGGACATCTAATCGGAGGGTCGAGATTCTCCACCCACATTTAGGTGGACCACCGTTCTTATACAAGCGCCAATCCAGACCACTCATTATTCACAGGCAAGACCTCAAGCCCCACACATCCATGCACATCGACCAAAGCCCCATCCATAAACCATGCATGTACACCATATACAACACCCCGTTACATGTCATAACAAGAACCCCAAACTCTCAACACCCATCAAACACAAGGCCTTTTATGTCGCGGCCGACAGTGGAGTGGGCTGACTCTCATCGGGCTTAGCTTCGGAATCCTTACCTCCATCCTTATTAGCAACCACCTTAGCTATGGGAACATCATGGTTGATGATGGCACCATGCTCTATATCGCCATCTATGCATGAGCTACATCTCATCTCCATCCATCCAACACAGTCATACGTGCTCTCTAGACCCACAAGCCGGCCTCCACAAATGCGACCCAGAAGGCAAGCTAAAGCACAGAAAATTGCTATCACAGAGATAACAGCAAAGAAAGGGCCGACTGACCCACCATGAGAAGGCCCGTTAGAAACAGCCTCAGGGTACATAGCCCCTGGTTGCTGTTGATCAAGGGGCACTGCCGTAGCCATTATGCTCACATCAAAATTTGAAACAAGTGCTTCCTATGAAGCACAAGTCACTGGAATTAAAAGGAAAAATGTGCCATAAAACAATGCATGCTTTTTATCATAGTGGGGTGGCCAGCCTGGTGGTGGCTTGAGTGGGAAACAACAATGCAAGACCAAAAAAAAGAAGAAAAAAAAAAAAGGAAACAAAAAGAACGTCATTGCCACAGAAAAAAAGAAAGGCAAAAGTATGAAAGAGTAGCAGCTGCTCTTTATACCTTTTGACTTTTATATTTTTGGAAAGAGATATTCTTGTAGCATTACAAATGTCTAGGGGACTTAAAATGGAAGTCTATCATTGCCTAAAGAACCATCTCTGGGCTACTGATATTGGGGTGTTCAGGAATGGAGCATAGAGGTTGATGTATGGGTTCACTGTTCGACTTATCTTGGCCCAAGCACTCTGATGATAGCCTGCGGTTACTGGGGCATGGTACATGAACTTTAGTATCTGTATTGAGAGAGAAAGGAAGTAGAATTAGCTGAGTAATGTCAATTACCATAAGATTACCCATTACTATATATCCGAGGAACCCCACTAAAATTTCAGAGGAATATTGACACTTCAATAATAGCAAAGTCACGAATATATAGATGCATACATGCAAGCACAAACACATGACACGCCCAAGTGCCCATGCACATAAAAACATACATATATGCATGAATATACATCTCTAAACAAAACACACTTTTAAAATGGCCCCGAAGTGTTGGACCTCAAATATCCCAGCCTCAGTGGCACCTTAGATTTCAGGTGGGGATAGTTCGCATAATTTGCAAAGGGAAAATCTAAATATACATTTATAATATTGTAAACATTTTACTTAGATTGAGCAGCTTAACATACATTTAGTGCTCTACAATTATGCTGATGTCTGCACCAAAATGTAGATAAGCCCAGCCAAATCATCCCCGTGTACTTTATCTTTTTTTCCCCCCCCTTCAAAGTGCATCTCTATCCTTATCGTCTCAAAACTCTCTTGGCAAATTATGCAGTATATCCCCATACAAAGGCATTAGAGCACTAAAGGCTAGTGGCGTTTTATATCCAAAATTGAAGCATTTTAACAGCATATTCCTTAAAAGGAATATCCTATCGAAAGCCACAAAGACACAAGCATATATATAATAATCCCCCACACACATGCACACATGGGCATGCACACACACAAACAGAGAGAGAGAGAGAAAGAGAGAGAATGAGAGAGAGAGAGAGAGAGACCTGCCAGTACATGAAGGTATGTAAGATGTTGCGTTGCCAACTGCAAATTACAAACAAAAAATTAGGTTCCAAGTAACCTGAATTATATACTAAAAGGATAGGGTAATAGAAGTTACTGACGAGAAAAGAGCAAAGATTAACAAGAAGCCAAGTCCAATCTCAGCATTTGAACTTAGGATATTGAGGGTGGTAGTATTCGTCTCGACCCACAAACAAACATCATCCAAGTATCTCCTGTTCAAGTGCAATAAGTTTGACGTTCAAGCATTAGTACATAAGACAAGTTACAACCAATATACAAGCCAGGCATGGAAAAGTATGACTTGACATATCTCTTTCAGTGAATATGTTTCTTTCTTCTTCTTCTTTTTCGAATCTGGTGTATAAGTTTCTTTTAGATCAAATATTTCATCTGTTCTCAAGCAGTTCCCACCAAACTCAAACCTCAGATGTAAAAGAAAAGCCAAAAGTTGCTTCCCAATTTTGCATGGACATGGGTTCATGTGTCAGTGTATGACACAAGTACATGATGTCAGATTGCTTATGCCATGAAGAAGAGGACTCTCAAACATGGCTACATTAAGAAGAGAACCAAATCCAACAATGTTTTACCAATATTCCATTTCATAATGAGGCACAAGAGATATCCAGTTATACCTTAATTGGCTGAATTCACAGATACTATGGAAGTTCATGTGTCTACTCAAAACAGAAAAGATTTTAAGTCTTTAAAAATGGTTAGTCAACAAAAAAAATCCTAACAAATTTGCATCTGTATTTGCGCTGGTACGTGTCCAACATGGGAAAGGCACCCAACAGAAGAGTCCATATCAAACAGTTGCTCCACAACATCAAAAGGCTCACTAGCAGATCAATATTTATCTCAATAGTTTTATTTGAACAAAGAAATAACAGTAATCAAAGCTTGTCGAATGGGCCGAACCAGCAGGACCAGTTGAGCCATGCTGCCCAATCACACTGGTCTGGTAACATTTTACTTTTGTTAAATTTTTCTTTCTGTTTTAGCTTTGTAAGACCCAATCTGACCAGCGGGACCAGACCAGTTTTAATTGATCCGATCCCTCCCCAATTCTACCTCTAGTCCAGTCTCGATCAATACACTCTCATATAGGCACCTTGAGGCCTTGGACGGTATCCAGTTTGTAACTAACACTATATGCAACAACATAAAATTGACAACTTGTCGATTTCCACCTTGATGGTAGATTATGCACAGAAAATGCAACATGTGAGCACATGCATGAGCATGCGTGCACGTCGCACACAAGCGAGTGCACACGCGCGCACACACTGTTGAACATCAGTAAATCTATATACCAGAAGGGGTTCATAACATAACAAGAATCCTACGATGCAAGGCATAGGGTGCCCAGTCAAGCTAGCTGCCTCACAAGTACCCTTTGATCCATCAAACAAATGACCTAAGACAATAAGCCAAACAAATGACCTCAGACAAATTGGCCAATCTTCCCTTCCTGACTCCCTAAGTTGTAACCTGCTGACTTAGAATTAGAAACTTTTCCCAGTAACAGGCGAAACCACCCAATACATCTCAAAAAGAGCATGCAACTGGTTTGCTTTTCTCCCCAATGATCCAAAATTTCCAGACAAATTGCTTGCATGCAAAAAGTTACAGGCAATGATAGCAACTCTAAATTTGTGGAAAAATATAACTTATTGCAATCAGCAGGTAAAGCATCATCAGAAAGAAATGTCCAAAAGCACACGTGGACAGGTTTTGCTTTCTTTTTGAAGGTTAGGACATTAAACCCATTATTTTCTTACCTATAGAAGGTGGCACGACTGAAGTTCCGCCGTAAGAACTTTGCAACATGCTCAAGTGACCGGCAAATAAGAGGTATCATGGCAACTGCTTACAAAGCAAAACAGGTATACATTACTGGCTCACAACAAAAGTGTTCAATCTAATGTAGGAAAGTCAAAATACAAGACTTGTTATTGATCTCACATTTGACGTGTGTTTGAGATGAAACAAAGATGAGGGAGTAGAGAAGGTAGATAAAATCCTTGCAAGAAATCATGGATTGGAACCAAATTTGAATGGCCTGCAGATTCCATGCTCTTGGTTTCTAGGAAAGGGAAAACAGACAAAAATCACATATAAGAATCACTAGCACCAATAAAAATTTTTAGAAAACATATTAGAAACATGAAAAAAAAGATTATCAAGAGGAAAATAAGAAAGCAAATACAGGCAAAAAGAGGAGTTAGTGTGTGAAAATACCCCATATTGAGTGTACAAAGAATATGCGCAAGCAACTGCAGTTCCCAAAAAGGACACTCGATATGCTTTATTTGAGAGGTTTCTGGATAGAACTGGAAGGATTGCGAGTAGTGCCACAACAAGAACCTGTCAAGAGAACACCTTACAATAAGTGATAGCACGTGATTGAGAAAGCTTTAAACTTTACGGAGTTACACCAGCTCTCGCGAAGTTTAAGCTATATACCAAATACCTAATCTAAGAAAAGAAATTCAACAACAAACTTCTCAAAACCCCAGGATTGTGATCGGAGTTGCCCAACAAAGATCGATCCAGTGAGCGAGTAGGGTCTATGACCCATGCCCTCACCCAATTCCCACCCTTTTCTTACTTTTAATTAATTTATTATCATTTTGCCCGATTCCAGTGGATCCTCCGGATACAGACTGTAACAAGTACAATCAGCTGATCCAGTTTTTAAACACAGCAGCAAACAATCCCAAGCGAGAAGCGAGCAACGAACATTGAGCATGAAAAATTGGTTCATAGCAGACATGAAACACACTGACAGACGTAGTGGTTTACAGCAGAACATGAAACACAGTAACAGCCACACCAACCACACATAAGCATGTAAAATATTTGGGGGAAAATTTGGAAAGAATGGCCACGTCACCTTAGGTCGTCAGCTTAGGTCATCGCTCACCTGACACTAGAGATAGGATTGCAGTGTAAGAGAAGTAAGGACATTACTGGAGCAGTTTGGTTGCAAAATTATGAGGGATGGCTGGAAAGGTACAAAAAAAACACAACCTTCTATTTCATGCTTCCCGGCCAAAGGAATATATAACTAGATGGGAGTGGAAGTTTCGACATGGTGAGCTTCATGTTATTTTATTCATAAAATGATTGAATAAGGCAGAGAACATGCAGACAACTTTATAAAAATAATGCCCTTAACTACAAAAAATACACACCAGGCGCTCGTTAACTAATAAAAAATAAATGTCTCGCATCAGTTGGATAATGATACCTTGAAAAGCCTGGCAGAGGAAGTGACATGAATAAAAGACTCAAGCAATGCTAACAGCTTCCCACACCATGCATAAGACATAAAGTGAAGACCTCAACCCCTTAGATGCCACAGAGATGTTATATGCAGGTCCAAGACCAATAAGAACAAGTTTTTAATACATCAAAGCTTATTCTTTATTTTCAAAAAAAGAGTGCAGCAAGTAAAAAAAATCAAAATTTTAACCTGAGAGAAGGTTCCAACCTGTAGCGATCAATGATGGTAGATCTGCTAGAGAACAGAGCACACAGTGACCTATATCGATTGAGCAATGTGTTAGATTCACAGAAGATCCCAGATACCAGACTTGGGCCCTAAGCAGAAGCCAAACCCTCTTGTAAACCATGCCCTTCCACACTAAATAGGGGGCATTGTTCATGGCCATTGGTTTATGCATGACGGCTACAGTAAGATGCTTTTATACTCTTGAGGTAATAAAGTAGAACGTGCCAAGAGATGCTTGGAAGAGCATAGCAAGAGGAAGCATTATTCTCATAAGAACAAGCAGAAGGCATCTTCAGCTTCCAAGAGCCTGATTCTTGTAAGGCAAAAGTTTTGAGGGGTGGATACCCACTTGTCCAAAAGCACAGAGAAAATGTGCTAGAAGAAAGAGGGATTAGTCTGTATCCTTCTTTAGAAAGCAGACTATATGGCTAGACCACTAGGACGTCTTTTAAGATTTCAATTAAGTGTTTCGTGTGTCTACCCAGAGCTGGTCCACAAAGCTATCAGTGATGCCAATGAAAAGGTCATGAGATAGACCTACCAGTCACCAAGGAAGAAAAATCAAAAGTAAACATAAAGTAGTTGGTTCATGATCATATGACTCCTAGGAGACTACTGGTTGAATTTCGTTTTTGAGGGAAATTGAATATATTGTATAAGATTTTTAAATGGATATGTTTTAGGGGGCTAGCACTAGACAAAAAAAGCTGCCAGTCAGAAAAAAATTAGGCATTTAGAACATTGAGGGGTCTGAGGGGAATCTGAGGGAAGAGTCCCCTGGGAAGAGGAGGGTTCAAAGAGCGAGGGGAGTTGGTGAGAGGAAAATGGGAGGGAGGAAAGAAAGGGAAAAGCGTTGTACTAGTTGAATTTCCAAAACACCAAAATATTACACAAAGCATGGTGTCATGGTAGACGACTCGAAGGTGTGGCAGTATCCTATTAAGTATTTAACCATGTGCAGGTGAACAGCAGAGGCATCATAGTTGAAGAGGCAAGGATACACAAATACACTAAACTACTCTTAACCTCATATGGCCTACACCACCATTAAAAAAAATGCAACTTTGTAGCTACAATCTAAAAGTTAGACTAATGATAATGAACAAAGAATAACATGTTGAAGGAAAACATGGGCATTGACACTTTCTTATAAATTAAGGGTGCGGTATGTATAGAGCCAAGGCTCTAAACAATCAAAGTAAAGTGCACCTTCAATAATGTCGTGAAATGTGGTTTTCACTACTGGAAATCTTTGTGATAGCCTTAAAATATATTTTCATCTTTAATTATAAAATTTAAAGCTTCAAAAATAGTGTAGATCAAGTAGATCTATGAAAACTTGAAAATCTTGAAAAGTGACAGTCCAAAATCTATTAAAAGATGCACTATTTCCAAAACTTGAAATCTATTTTTTTCTCATGTCCATGCATCTTGATATCGAGATGATCAATTTGAGGACATTTGGCCATCAAAACAACCTCTTCTAGTGAAATTTTTGAGGTGGGCTCTAATTTGATTATTTAAAGCCTCGGCTCTATACAAACTTTTTATATAAATAAATAGACATGAACTTTACTGATGATTACGTCAATCAAAATATAGAGCGACTTTCTCGTCTGAATTGGGTCCATAAATACTCAATATGATGATAAAAAGTGCTCACAAATTTTATTTTTACACAGTAACTTTGCATTACCCAGACATTGATGGAAAATTGAACGGATTGTCGATCCACCCGTAGTGAACCAGTAGGTGCATTTGTTTGTGAAGATGCTCCAGAGCTTGACCCTGAACTAGGCCCTACAAATGAACAAAAGAAAGGGAATTAACAGAAAAAAAGCTAGATGGTTCTATGATCAATTAATAATAATGAAGCATTGTCTCTTACAGATCAACAGCAGTAACACCTAGCAACTATTATTTACCAGAGGTCCGGTGCCTAGCTGGTTCATTTGCAGGCATTGATGTGGTTGAAGTTGATGACCTTGTTGACTGTGAAGAACCGGTTGAACACATTGGCTCCACTTCAAGATCAGGATCCTACAAAGAAACATTAAAATCAGTTACATTTTTATCCACAGAATCGCAAATGCAAAAACAAAAGAAATAAACTAAATATTCAAGCTACAAAAGAACGAATGAATGAAAACTCACAAAAATGCAAGGATACTATTTCCAACCATTGATCACTGACAAACCTATGATAAAGCCAAACGCAGTTGTGCATCTAAGCCATTCAAATTACTTGGCATTTAACTTTCAACTTTCAAGGTTCTCTACATAGACAGCTGAGTCAATTATGAGTCACATACATTACTTACAACATCAAATTTCCGTCCGTTCGCGTCTTTGTATGATACTGATGTTCTGTAGATGTTGGTAGAAGGTGCAATGGGTTACTTGGCAATAACTTTTAATGCTCTTAATGTATCAAGACATTTCATTTTATCCTTTCTCTTTGCATAATGGTGATGTTTTATTAAGATGCAGATATAAGGAGGAAGAGGTATATTAAGCAGTGCATCCACATTAGTTGGCAACATTTTCCTTCTTTTTTTTTTTTTCTTTTTTGGATATGTACTTGGAAACTTTAATTTTTAAGACCCACAATTCAATACAAGCAATGAATTAGTAGTTAAACAATTAAAAACAATCAGGGTTCTTGGTGTGAGATGCTAAATAACTCAAAAAGTCCCATGAACCATCAACAAGGATCAGCATTTCATCCTTTGGCATCTAGGGGTGATTTTTAGGTAAATGTGGACACAAATGGGTGCCATGGAACCCTTAGGGGCAATAATTGAAGTGGAATACCTATTCAAGAATTTAAGGAAAAGATCAATTATTTGACATTGCTAGTTTTTGGATGAAGGTAAACACAATGGAAAATTGGATGGATAACATCACAAACTGTGATAAAGCTTGCCCTGTAACCATGATTGCCAGCTTGACCCCATTTCAATCTCATAATCAATGTTCTTCAACCCCAAGGTGATAAAATAGAAATGCTAATGATTCTAGCACGCACCGAACTAGAAAAGTACTACGCATTTTGGAATCCACTGACAAGGAATTATTTGCATAACATCAATTTTCCTATTCAATGCCTTTTAAAGAGCTACAAGAAACACATATTAAGTCCAATATGGCACATTTTATCTTCTTTATTTTGTACAAACTCCTATAGTTTGTAAAAACTCCCAAATCCATCCTGTAATTAGGTCATCCCATCACAGGAACCACCAAATTCCTACATAATGCTCCATTACTTCCTAATACTCTGTTTACTTATACTCTTGCAGCAAATACTTCAGAATTTTTTGAATAAATTGACCATTGTCTTAATAAGAAAGTACGACCAAAATTGTATACAAAAGGCAGCCCCTTAAAAGAGTGCCCATAAAAAAAAACCGAGTTCAGGCCAAAAAATGCCTACATCGGAGATAGGAAAGAAACGGAGAGGTTGCAGGACTAAAGTTGCCCACAATCCCCGTGGTGGAGTTAAGGCTTGCTCCTCCTCATTAGCTCCTCTGAATATGTGTTGCCAAGTGACGTGCAAGGCGCTGCAAATGTCTGATCTCATAAAAAATATGGTGGAGCCTCTAGGGGCATGAGGCCACCCCCATGGCCCAAGAAATGATATTTCTGGAGTCGCCTTCAGCAACCAGGTCAGTGCTCCAGCTTGGGTCGAATCGTCGCCGCCCCTCTAGCAAGGCAAGTGCTCCGGCAGTAGTGGAGACTGTGAGGCCGATGGGAGAAGAGTAAGAGAGAAGGAGAGATCCCTCAGAATTTCTATATAAACACCCATTACCAGAGGGTCCTAGGCTGCCTAGAGAGCAACTATCAAAATTAAGCTTAGTTTGCCCCATGTCAGGAGACCTCCAAAGGGAAGAATAGGAAATTATTATGGGCCTGAGATTCAAAAGGGCCTGCCAATTGTGATGGAGGTGGGCAAAAGTGAAGTTCTTGAGCATGTTGTGATTTTTGGCCCAAAGGCCGCTAAAGTTCTGCTTTTGTCTATCAAACTATGAATTGAGGCTTTCTCAGCCCTGAAGATCCTGTTGTTCCTTTCGAACCCAATCGCCCACAACGTGGCAGTAATGGAGGCCCTCCATAGGAGGTTGCCAGATTTGGTCCAAGGGGTATGAAGGAAAGTCGAAAAGAGGTGAGAGATAGACTAGGTGGTGTGACCCATGTCCAATTGAAAAGTTGAAGCAAGCTGGTCCAAAGAGCTGAGGCTACTGGGCAATGGATGAAGAGGTGCATGTTAGTTTATTCGGCTTCTAAGAAAATGGCGCATCTGTTCGGTAAGGAAAGGCCCCTTCGCCGAAGTTGGTCAATTGTTAGTGCCCTTTCGTGAAGGGTGACCCAGTAGAAGAGTTGAATCTTAAGGGGGATAAAAGGGAACCAAGTCTTGGCCGGAATCGAGGGTAGGGAGAAGGGTGGGGGCAAAGTGAGAGCTGGATAGAAAGAGGCCACAGTGAAACTCCAGAAGGGGCAGGAGACCAGACAATCTTATCTTCCCCAGAGGGCAGGAGAAAAAGAGTGTGTAGGATAGCAGAGTGGTAAAAATTTCTCCATTTCATTCTCTGCGAGGGGTCTTCTAAATTCACAATTCCAGGTTCTGGTAGGTCCAGAGTAAGGAAAATTATCAGCCACAGCCAAGAGTGGAATACGGGAGACCACCTGTCCAAGTATCTGACCAAAATAGCAACCTGTTGACCCTCCTACGATGAGAGTGGACAAGATTGAGGAAGGGAATGCGACTGTGGAGGAGCGACCTCCAAAAACCCGAGACACTGCCAGTGGTCCGATACAAGGGAAGCCAAGCATGGTCCCCATGGCAATATCTGCGGTGAATCACCTCTCTCCAAAGGTGGTTGGGTTGGGTGGCATAACACCACCACCATTTGCCCAACAGGGCAATATTGCAAGGTCTTAAGTGACAAATCCCGAGACCACCATGTGCTTTGGGGAAGCACACCTTAGCCCACGAGATAAGGTGGAATCTATGGCCCCTTTCTCCCAACCACAAAAACCCCCCCATTAGCTTTTCCAGTCTAGCAATGACTTCAGATAGCATATGGAATAGGGACATGAGGAATAACGGAACGTTAGAGAGAGAGGAATATCCCTTTTCCAACGCACAAGTTTCCTTTCGAATTTTTCAATAATTGGGCTCCAATGGCTCTGTCTCGGCACATCAAGGCACAAGAAAAGACCAAGGTAGGGGAAGGGAATTCACCAGCCCCGCACCCCCAGAGGTCGGCAAGCTTTGAATTGAGAAATATCAATGGCAATTTTTTTTTTGATAAACGTTGACATTTGTATTTCTTAATGGAAAAGAGTACAAGTTGGAGGTTAGTCTGAGAGTGCCCTCTAGGCGGGACTCATCGGTAAAAAAGAATAGGTCGAAGGACCCTATACAAAAAATGGGGTTATAGTATTGTCCCCTTAAAAGTTTACAATGGGTTCACAAAAAACCTGGCCCGAGAAATGTCAATGCCAATTCCCATCGTCTTTGATTTTTTTCATATTAACCTAAAGCCAGAGGCTAGCTCGAAGCATTGGAAATAGAGGAGGCAATCGACTTGTTGAGGGGAGGCATCGCAGAACAAGAGCGTATCATCGGCATATAGAAGGTGTGAAATGGTGGGACCCGATCTACTAATGTGGAAACCAATGAGGTAACCTGCTTGGTAAACTCGAAAGATGGAGGCACTAAAGACCTCAGCCAATACCGCAAAGAGTGTCAGACGGTCACCCTGACATAGGCCTCTTGAGGCCTTGAAATATCCTTAAGGGCCATTAATGAGTACTGAGAAGGATGGGTTGGATATGCAACCCTAGATCCACTTCCTCCATACAAGTCCAAAGCCCATCCTGGAAAGAGTCTCGTCAATGATTTTTCAGTTTACATAGTCATAAGATTTTTCTCAGTCGAGCTTAATTACGAGGCTTGGGATTTTGGAAAGGTGGCGGGAGTGGATGCCTTCATGGGCAATGAGGACCCCATCAAGGATCTGGAGTTCCTTCACAAAGATCCCCTGAGTTGGAGAGATAATCCAATCAAGAACAGCCCTTAGACAAAATTTTGTTGGAGCTATTAATCAAGCTGATGGGCCAAAAATCCTTCAGTTCTTCCGCTCCCTCAACCTTGGGTATGAGTGTTATAAAGGTAGCGTTCATGGCTTTATGGATAATCCCACGGGTATGGAACTCCTTAAAGAATGCCATGATATCGGGTCTCAAAGTTCCCCAGAAATGCTTAACGAGAGTAATAGGGTAGCCATCTGGTCCAAGGGCACGATCGGAGCTAAGGTCATTGATAGCGCCTAAAATCTTTTCGTCTGAGAATGGCTGCTCTACAGAGGCAGCAACAGCAGGAGGCAGGGTGGAGAAGGAGAGATATGCCATGGAAGGTCTAGGGCACTGAGGAATAGAAAAGAGGTGGGAGAAGTACTCAATTGCTGCCTGGTCTATAAGGTGAGGTGGTCAAGAATGTGTTCCCCCAATTTCAGATGCGTGATGAAGGTCTCACACCTACGACAATTTGAGATTTTGTGAAAGTTGGCAGTGTTCAGGTCTCCAAGTCTGAACCATTTGACTTTGGCTCTTTGGGACCAGTATATCTCCTATTTGTGGAGAAGAAGGTGGTAATCAAGCTTTGCTTTGGCCCAGAGCTCCAACTCAAAAGGGAAATGGGAATGGGATTCCTCTGTGGAGCCCCACAAGTGGATGGACTAAAGCAATTCGGGAGCAGAAATTGCCGGGTAATTGGGAGCTCCAGGAATCCAGGAAGAATTTGAGGAGTTGAAGCTACTTTTGTAATTTAAACCCAGCCCAACCGTGGACCAGGGTGGAGAAGGATTTCCATTGAGATCAAACCAAGGAAGGGAAATTGGCCTCTTCTAGCCAGGCCATCTCAAATTGAAAAGGCTTAGGCCCTCGGATGACAATTGTTAAGTAGAATAGGGCGATGGACTGATGTGGGCTTAGGAGAACAAGAGAATGGGTACCACGGAAGGTATGATCCCATTCAAGTGAAGTAAGAAATCTGTCAAGTTTAGAAAGGGTAAGGTTTGAGGAATGGCTGGACCAAGTGTATTCAGCCCCTTCAAGAGGGATATTGAGAAGGATATGAAATCTGAGAATTGAACCATGGCGGGGTGATTCTATCATTGGAGTTGCACTCATAAGACCACCTAGTGACATTGAAGTCACCCCATAGGCACCAGACAAGAGAAGGTAAAGGATCAACGGATTGGAGTTCTTGCAAAAAGTATTTTTGGGCACTATCGAAGTTCGGTCCATACACCACCATGCATTTCTAGAGAAGGCCATCCGAGATTCTGGAGAGGATGACCGTGGCGGAAAATAGACCTTGAGAGAGGTCACTAGGGAATGGATGGTTGGGTACCAGAGAACCCAAATGCCACCTGATACACCTTGGGCTTCAAGTGCAATCCATTGACAAGGCGGCAAGCCCCAAGTTTGCCGGATATGAGAAAGAGTGGGACAGAGAAGTTTAGTTTCCACTAGACCTAGAAGCAAGGTTAAATGCCTATAGTTAAAATCGTGGATAGAGTTCCGCTTGCGCAAGTGTCCCAATCCGTGGACACTCCAGACTAGGATCTTCATGATGAGAGAAGAGGGGAAAGGACTTGCCTACTTGAGCGCCTAGACTGTTGTCAAGGCGGGGGCTGGAAATAGGGGGATGGGCAGCGGATTCCCCTCTCTCATACTTGATTCCCCACTCTGAGAGTTCTCGGCTGCCTTTGGGACAAGCTACTACCGACTTACCTTTGGATTTCTTGGTATTCCTAGCATAGGTGTCTGCTCTAATAAAGGCTTCCAAGGCATCTCTTGGGCCGTCGAACTTGAATCCCATAACCTTGAGCACCTCTTGGACATTGCCTTGGGCGTCATCTAAATCTATTACAAAACTGGAATCCACAGATGCCACCAATAAGGATTGTGAAGAGTCCTCACTCAAGAAGGAATGTAAAGTACCCTCCTGGAACTTAGTAGGGCTATAGATCAAGAGTGGCGGGGGAAGGAGATCACCTCAAGGGATGTGGAATGAGGTTCACCCTGGTGGGGTAGGAGGAGGTGAGGATAGAGGTAAGGAGGGTGAGGATAGAAGTAAGAAGGCAGCCTAGTGAGAGAGGGAAATAGAGCCAAAGGGGGAGAAGAGCGGGTCACGAGAAGGGCTGAGTTGGAGCATGTTGGAATTGCTTTACGAAAAATCCAAGCCTCACATTGTAGATTGGGTAAACCCCGATGAAGGAATTGAAAGATCCACTAAACGAAGGGGGGGGGGGAGGAGGGATGCTGGGAGCAGCAACAAGGGGTATAAAGGGCAGGAGGGAGAAAGGCGGAGTATCCAGGGGATGAAGGTAAGGAAGATGTAGCAATGATGGGAGGTATAAGACAAGGGGGGCAAGAAGAAGAAGGGAGGGAGGTGGGAAGCAGGGGAAGTGAGCTTGCTAGAGGAGGCCCAACCAACAGAGGGGAGTGGTGAGGAGCCATAGAGTGAGAGGTTGGGGGGGCGGGGTTGGGATGGCGAGAGGGGGTGAGACTGATGAAGGATGGGGCAATGAAGAACAAAGGGGCAGCGGTGGAGAGGGATTGGGTTAGCTCCCAAAGAAGGAGTAGATATCAAGAGTGAAGAAGAGGGAAGGCTGGAGGTAGGAGCCACAGACGGTGCAATTTGGGCCACTGGATAAGTAGCCTCGGGATTAAGCCAGGGAAGTAGATTCGTGTTGACGAAGGGGATGACAGTTGGAGGAAGAACTGGATCAGGGGTCAACAATGAGGAGGGAAGGATCTGGGATTAGGGGCATCGGACGGCTCAAGATAAGCTGTGGGAAGAGTGACATCAGAAGCATGTGAGGGGACAAGGTCATATGGAGGGAACCGGGGGAGGAGTACTTGAGGGATGGGGAGCCAACTGTCAGCCGTAGTGGATTTAAAATTGGGGTAGCCTCATGGTGAGAAGGTGCGACCTTGGCTGTCCACAAAGGAAGGGGCAAGAAAAAAAGGTGGGAGGCATGTTGGGCAAGAATAGATGGATTCGCTTCGTGAGGGGGATGCCTCAACCCTGGCTGCATGGTAGTCGATCACGCGGTCTTGTAGTGGCGTGCAAGAAAGAACAAGGTGGGTGAGAGAGGTCTTGACAACTGTCTATGCTGAGATAGAGGATGAAGGTTGATGCGCTGGAGGTCCCCTCACCCTTGAGAAAGTAGAACCGCCCAACTGAGTCGTATGATTCTTGGATCAACGGTTACGATGGTTTTACTGTCGGCACTTGCGAGTGATCGTAGTCCAACCTTTCTGGACTACCGGATGATGGCGAACCGGTGGCGTAGAGATGAGAACTTCGTGCTCCAAGACATGGCAGGAGGAGGTGGGAGAGGCACAAGAACAAGCCACTGAGACTCTAAAAAATAGCCCATCAACTTCAAGACAGAGAGAAAAGAGGATGAGTGAAGGGATGAGGGTTTCGACCAAGAGTGGGATAGAACCAAGGGGTAAAGAGCTAGACGATTTCCAATGGACGAAGATGAAGGCCCCGCAGGAATCTCCAATCCGTTTGAATGTATCGACATGCCAGGGTTAGAGGGGGATGTGGAAAAGCTTCAGCCAAATTCCCTATGACTTGGCAGAGCGCATTTCCTTGTTCCAATATTGCAAAGAGATCGATGCTCCTTTAAACTGAGGGTTAGGGCATTGACCCATGCTGTGGAGGCAGTCCTCAAAAGGCAAGGAGAAGAGGAAGCCGCTTGACGACAATTTACAGCAAATGAGGTTAGTAACACCCCGAACCTCTCTGCCCATTTTTCAATTGCAAGGTATAACTGACCACAAGCTCATGAAAAATCTAAATGCAGTCTTTCCTTTCATCCTGAAACAATGCCACCGGTCTTCCAACAAGTGCAATAAATGCATATACTATATAGTTAACAATATAATATCAAATCTAAAGGAAAACATTCATCACATCATAATGGAGAATTATTCATGTTGATTAACAGTTATTTGATAGCAGGGTAGCTTCCTCACCAACGCAGCTAGACAAGAAAGCAGTAAAATCTATCCATCATTAGTGGCTTCTACCTTCTATTATGTAATCATGTAAGCATCTAAGAATCAAAGTGAAGTCACAATGTGGATAATATTGCACTATAGCAAATTGGGATAGTAGAAATCTAGTCAAACTTTATACAAAAAAAGAAAAGGCGGAACTATAAAGGAAAATTAAGAAAGAATAATGAGAGTGTCATAAGAAATAGAAGAAAAAAAAATGCATACGAGCTAGCTGTTAATAAATTGCAAAAAAAGGAAACCCACAATTTAAGGAAATGAAAACAGTAAGAAGATAAGAAAATCAAAATACATCGAACTAATATAGTTCAATCAATTACACCAAACATATCAAATTATTTAGCACATAAAAAGCATTGTATCTATATAAAAATGTCTCTATGAGTTGATGACATGGTGAATAAAATAAAACAAATCAAACAATTTTGTACAGAAAGTCATTTTTGTGTAACAATCTTTCTGTGAATCATACATATGAATGAACAATGACTACCTATGACATATGACATCTAAATACGATACATTCATTTCATCTAGTTTTACTAATGATATAAGAAAAATACCAAATTAGAATGAGCTCTCTGCTCAAATATAAGCCCAAGATAGAACATAATTCACCCAATCCAAATAACAAATCAATCCTCTTCGCATCCATAGACAAACTTCCCATTAAAGAGTCCACAGTCAACTCTAGTCCAACATTAGCACGTGACAATACACCAAGAACAAAGAGAACCAGAGGAATTGGGATGTGAACAAGTTCGCAATTAACAAGCACACAGTCAATTGTATTCCGACACTATAAATTCAATACCATGCCAAAAAGACACAGAACCAAGGGTTGAAGCTTACAAGGTATCTCTGATAAAACTTTTGCTTGAAATGCTTTATCACGTCCGAGCGAGAAGCCATGTTAGGTGGGATCAGGATATTGGACCAGTAATCCGCCCATCTGGGATCATTATCATAATCATAAGCGGAAGCAGCATTCTTCTTTAGACGCTGAGTATCCTCCGCCATTGCTGTCAAAAAATCCTAAATCCTAAGAAGAAAACCCTAAATCCTACCCGTGAAGTCCCAAAAACCTAATTATCAATCAGAAATCGATCTTAACCCTAGCTCATCCAAACCTAATATATCAAAAACATAAAATTCCTACAATTAACACCAAAATGCGCAATTATACATCAGATTCCGTCTCAGAGATCGAAGAGACCCCAACTTCCTCCCTTCGAGCCACTGCAAAACCCGATTTATGAGTCAAATGGGTATTTGGTATTTCTTGCAATTCCATAGGTTAATCCAATGGTTTAAAAAACAGATCGGTGACCCAGATCGGGCTTCCAAAAAACCGATCCGGATCGGTGAATCGGCGATCCGGATCGGAAATCGGTTGAATCGATCAGAATAAAGCTTAAAAAAAATTCGAAAAATTTATTAAAATTCATTATAAATATTACTTTTTAGGAATTTAATAAAAAATGAGGGTACTCCATTAAGAATTTTCATGTTTTTGAATGAATATGCGAATATTTATATGTTCTTTCCCTGCATGAACCGCCATTCAGCATTTAATTTACAGTATTTCGTGCTCATCCCTACACTGTTGCTGTTGGGACTCGATATGTGAATAATATGGCTAGGATAGGGTGGCCTCAGAATCATCATCTCTCTCATTTTCTCTTTGAATAATATGGATTAAAAAAAAATAACAAATTTTC